CAGAAAAAATTCAGTACTATTTCGATGCATTTAAGTTGAATGCTAATTTTAGTTCCTATTTTTTAGTTATATTTTTACCGCGCTTGTTTGTTTTTCCATCCCTCTAGAATATTATATTTTTACTAAACACAAGCCTACCTTGAGCACACATAAACTTTGTTGTTAAAACTGCAACAGCGGTAAAGAAAAACTAACATGGCCACAGCGTGGAGGCTGATTTAATATCAATCTTCCACCGCATTGCTAAAGTGCAATGATACAACTATTCGTACTCTCCGAAACGCGTGAGGTATCACGCCACGTTTGAAGGCGTTTTCGAAAATGCCAACTTTCCATATCGGGATTCTTTTCGACGGTGCAAGTCGGCAATCACATAACTCGTTTGCGGTGTCTGAAAATGTCCGCAACTATGTTACTTTTTTAAAGGAGAAAAAATGGACATGATTCCTTGCAGTTTTTGCAGAATTTTCCTCGCACATAGAAGAAAAATCACGGCAGTTTTAAGGAATTACCGTTGAGTAGTTTTCCGTTTAAAGAATAAAGTATGACAGGAAGTCTGCGACGTCGCAAATCGAGTTATCCGATTGCCGACTTTCACCGTCGTTTTGTCTAATAGATATCATACTATAACCGGCCAGCAAATATTAAGCACTTCCGCTGCCCTTCTTCCTAAAAATTCAGTACCTCGAAAGCAGAAAAAATTAAGTACTATTTTGATGCAATTAAGTTGATTCTGAATTTGAGTTCCTATTTTTTAGTTATATTTTTACCGCGCTTGTTTGTTTTTTAATCCCTCTAAAATATTATATTTTCAATAAACACAAGCCTACCTTGAGCACACATAAACTTTGTTGTTAAAACTGCAACAGTGGTAAAGAAAAACTAACAAGGCCGCAGCGTAGAGGCTGATTTAATATCAATCTTCCACCGCAATGCTAAGGCGCAATGATACAACTATTCACACTCTCCGGAACGCGTGAGGTATCACGCCACGTTTGAAGGCTTGGGGGGAGGGATCGCCGAGGGGGGAGGTTCCCAGGGAAGGGGGGTTCGTAGGGTTGGGAAGTATCGCGGAACTAGGATTCCCAGGGGGGAGAGTCCCGGGGAGAGGGGGGTCCGTGGGGTTGGGTGCGGCATCGCGGGGTAGGGTTTCCTAAGGGGGTTCCCGGGGGAGAGGGGGGATGTCCGTGGGGTTTAAGTAGGATCGCGGAGTAGGGTTTCCAAGGGGGGAGGGGCCGCGAAGTAGAATCACGGGGGGAGGAGTAGGTTTTTTTTTTTTTTTTTTTTTTTTTTTTTTTTTTTTCTGTTTTAGGTGCAGCTACCGTTCCCGCAACCGAAGGTAAGCTACCGTTTTATTTCTCCTTATTTCTAAATAAGGGTTATAATCGTTATTCAGTTTTAGTGGGCACTACTTCCGTCTTACGAGCAGAGCTGCTTTTTAGCAGAATCAAAAATGGCATGGAGCAGAGAAAGCTGGAGCTGCGTCAGCGTTGGTAAGTACTATATTTTTTTCCTTCCCCCCCCCCCCCCCCCNCCCCCCCCCCCCCCCGTGGATTAGGGCTCATGGCGATACCACGTTAAAAAAAGCGCGCCGTAAGCTCTACCTCCAGGAGCAGTACCGTATCAATTACCTGATCGGACTCTCCTAAGGTGGTGTGGAAACGAGCTTTTCAAAAGTTGTTTCCCCATTCCTTTTACGATTTGTGCTTTATACTGCCGTGCTGAGGAAAAACGCCGTATGAACATCCGAGAGGTGCCAAATTTCCTCCGATAAAACGTTTAGTAATGAAGAAAGTTATGAATATTTTTCCTTGACATTTTCAGGAACTTCAGGTGAAATTGCGAACAAAATTATCTAAAAATTCCGAAGAAAAATACATAAACATTTTCCCGAAAATTCGTGATTTAGCGGAGAAAATTTGGCAACGCCTGAAGGTTTATACAGCGCTCTTCCTCAGCACGGCAGTGTAGCTTCTGACTTCAAAACCTGAGAATCTTTTTATTGAACCGTACAAAATTGAAATTTTCAGGTGACAGCAACGAGAAGCTGAGGAAGTGTGAATTTTCTTTTTTACACGAAGAGCAGAAATTCAATACCTGGTAAGTGCCATCAGGTGCCTATCATGGGGCATCAGTTTCTAATAGACCAAATTTAGAGAAAATTTCCGCATGAAAATTCAATGAAAACGGGGCGCTTTACGCTGAGGAGCAACATGCATATTTTAGCAATAACCTAATGACGCTCGCCAGGTTTTGAATTTCTACTCGTCATGTATGGTACGCCAAGGTGACGTCATAAGTCTATGTGGTATACTGCCGTGCAAAGGAAGAACGCCGTATGAACATCCGAGAGTTGCCAAATTTCCTTAGATATAAACTTTATTTTTGAGGAAAGTTATGAAAATTTTTCTTTGAGAATTTCTGGAGCTATAGGTTAAATTGAGAACAAAATTATTTTAAAAATTGGAGGAGAAATATTCATTCATTTACTAGGAAATTCGTGTTTTATCAAAGGGAATGTGGCAACGCCTGAAGGTTCATACGGCGTTTCTCCATAGCACGTGCAGTATAGGGTCTACGGTTTGTAACCATTGTGTTACACTGCACCGTTCCGAGTCTATCACACGGGGACTTCAACGCTAGAGTAGAAAAGCAGAAAAGTAGAAAAGTACGATGCTCATTGATGGTAAGCCAAGGTAACGTTTAAAGGCTTCAGCACGAAGTTTACTTTTACAGTGGAGGGAAAGTTATTTTTCTGAATTTCTGCTTTATTTCATCTATTGAATATGACTTGACCAAAAATTTAGTCTAGAATGCGTGAGATCACAAAATTTTAATTGCTTTAAATTTTAATCCTTTTTAATTATCGTTTCCTTCTCACATCTCGTCTTTTTCTCAACCAATATACATAATTTTGTTTTTTACTACTAGCTGTGTTTTGTGATGTACCTTGATGATGGCGTTTGCCAAAATCGGTATGTCGGATCAATATAATGAAAATTATGTAGTTTCATGCATGTGGGCTAAATTTTTGGAAAATTCTTGTGAGCAATTGAATGGTTTGAATAATTTGCAACGTTGGAATTGGGTTACGTTCCATCGTCCGAAAAATGATGAAGTCAGAAGTTGCTGACTTTTATAAACATATTGAGTTGATGGCGAGAGACGCACAAACGCACACGAATATTTTGACTTAATTCCCTGGTAAGCTGACATCAGTGACAGGATAGGTGTGAATAAGCATAAAACAAGAAGGAAACAATCTTAATCCAATTATTCAGAACAAGTTCTGAAGCCCATTTCTGATCTCTCTCTTCTCATGTAGCGGCTCGACATGTTTCGATGCATATCAAATCGAAGAAGATTATTGGAGTCTCTCCTCGAATGTTTCGTAATATTCGTTGAGGATTTGGTTGCGCATCAAAAATGTATGTAAGCATGAGAAAAATACCTCGAGATTACGTAGCACTGGGCCCGTGCACGGAACTACAGACAACTGGATTCTTGGTCGCCAGGAGCAGCAATTTGACAACCCCGGATTTCCTTCCTTTAAACATATGCTAAAAAATCGATTCTTGTAGGAGCACATGGTCCCTCCAAGAATCGATACATTTCCATAGGTTTAAATGGAGGAAAGACGATGTTGCCAATTTGCTGGATCCGCCAATGTCGCCCGGACAAGAGTACGGAACTACATTTCAACATAGCGAAACGCCTGCTCCCAGATTGTATTTATCAAGTTTCTAACTAAAAATGTGGCAGAGTTTACCTCTGATTACATGTGAAATCAGCATGATTTGGGCAGCTATTCTGCCGTGCTATGGAAAAACGCCGCATGAACATTCGAGCCTCTCGCCGAAGTTTCAATGTCAATTTTTAAGGAGAATTATGAATATTTTTCTTTTAAATTTTCAGATAATTTAAATCTGATTGCGATATCATTTTTTCATTCATCACAGTTTTTTTTTTTTTTTTTTTTTTTTTTTTTTTTTTTTTTTTTTTTTTTTTTATTCATCAAATTATGTTACAACCACCTGTTTACAAGTGTTAATTAACTTCGTTTTACAAATATAATAACAACCAAATTAACTATTTTTAATTTTCATTCTTAACTTTTGCATGTATGACCTACTCTCGCACAGAACCTAACTACATTCATACATCTTAAAACTAGAGTAGTGGATTAGAAAAAAGAATTACAATAAACAATGAAAAATAAATGAGAGAGATAAAAAAAAAAAAAAAAAAAAAAAAAAAAAAAAGTTATAAAGCTATTAAGTTTTAATTACTTTTGCTCTCATGCGGGATCCATGTCCGCAAAAGAATTCTGGCAATTAGGTTGTTAAGGACCTATTTTTTATAACAAAGTGAATAAGATACAAAAGTTTTAAATTAGACACCGAAGGCTAAATCTCGAGGTTTGACCCTCTTGAGCCTTCTCACCATATCCTCGGTTGTAAGTTCCTTGGCTAAGGGATTTTCATGAATTTCAAGCTTGCTAAAATATCTATGAGAGGCATTTTTGATGCAATCAGAGACGGATTCAACGTCTAACTCTTCTCTGATTGATTGGTTAGTTGTGAACCATGGGGCATCCACCATTGATCTTAGCACCTTCGCCTGGAAGGACTCGCGTTTTGCATAGTTCATATCCTTTTGATATATTCCGTACCACTCGTTTATTTTTAATCCTCGTATAAAAACCACCCATTTGCTAAATACAATTCTAGCTGGAGCGCACTTCAGCTATGCATTCACCACTGCAAAAGTGTCAAAGGAAATTGACAAGCCCAGCGTGCATGAGGGCTATTTCAATTATTATGTCCAAGTGCGATGGGAAATTGCAATTTTAGTTCACTTCATCGCAACTTCACTACAATATATTCGTTGGAAGGTAGCAAAAGCTCAACATTTTGGTTTTCTGAACTAAAATTGGCATTTTTCTCACTATTATCATATACAGCAATAAAACAAAGACTGAAAGAAGGAAAACAAATAAATATAGCGATCAATGAAAATATATTCGAACAAAAATAAAATTTTTATAATTTTGAAACAAGCTTGATAAAATTAGAAACGTAACATGTAATTGTATAAAATTAATTTCAGGTAAAGACTATAACAAATGAAATAAGGAGATTCAATCTGAGAATCATGAATGAAACATTAAATGAGAAGAAAAATAAAAAAGTATTCAACTATTCAGTTATGATTCTCAGATTTAAGCTATACTTTGCCCGTTTAACTTTTCATTTATGATTTAATTCTTCTTATTTTTATTTCTTTGCTCATTTAATCACACAGTACTGCAAAATATGTTTCATTTCTATTGCGCTTTTCGTTCCCTTTGACAATTTTTCACGATATTTTAGAGTCATGTTCACAGACTGCGAAGCAAACTAAAATGAATTTCCGAAATTTAACTTAGGGCCCAAATTTCGTTACCTGGCTTCGAGAGGTTTGTCTCCAGTTTCCAAGCAGCACAGATTGAAGTAAATTGCAGTATATGGTTTTAGCACTGTATTGGAGTGATGAGTATGTTGCCTATCTCCTGATTGAAGGGGCGTCTGGTATTGTAATTCAATTCAATAAAATTGAAAAAATCACAATTTTTACTACATTGAAAATTGCCTATTTTTCTGACATAAGGAACTTATTTTTTTAACTATTCATAAACGGCATTCACTGACCAAATGATGAACAAATATTTTAATTTTATGGTAAAAAATAGCAATTTTACAGTATTAAATTGCAATTATACAGTATTAAATTGCAATTATATTTCTATGCACTGTGCTACTTGGGATACTGAAGAGCCCCCTCACTGACTAATTTCACGCCTAATTTCATACAATTATGCAGTCAAGGCTGCAGATGCTATTTTCGCAATCATCACTGTATAGTTTTTAGAGCAATAAGAAGGCGATAAATGATGTACTTATTGTACCAGCTCATTTTATTCCTGACCGTTAATATGGTTCTAGGCATTCAAATATCACAAACGTTGGAATTTTGGACATTTTTTTAAAACGATTTCTGAGAGTTATATCAAATATTCAGCTATTCATTAAGTAAATGCACTTCTGTCAGAAATAAAGCTTCTCTTCAAAAATGCACTCTAAATCGTTCCTCAGGGAAGCAGAAAAGCTCCTGTAGTCCGAATATTGAAACTATGTCAGCACGACTAGACAAGACAAAACCTTAGCTTAAAGGAGCAATATATCGCATTTTGATGTCTTATCATGCTGATTTAAACTTTGAGTAATCAGCCTTGTGCTTAAAGAGACCTTTTAAAGTGTTGAAGAGATCGCTTGGAAAAAATGATAGAATTGCATCAACTTATTCATATTTTTAAATTAAATGCTTTTTGGTTGTAAGAAAGATGAGTTCGAAATGGGGTTCAAGCGCACTTCCTAGTGCTTGACCCGTACCGTGGTTTCTTAAGTATAGAGGCTTCTCTACAATTTTGTAAAAATCAAATAAAATAAAACGGCATATCTTCCTGAGGGAAAATTGTGCTTGGATGAACTTTCCTTCTCTTTCTTGAGACATCAGTTTTAGAATGACTTTTAAGTTTTAATGCATGTTTGCTAAATCTTTAACACTGACTTAAAGATTCGTGAGCCAAATCGCAATTCTGTTCATTTTACAGTTATGTTTATAAACTTTGCAGCCACTCATAGCCAGCAAAATGTGGCCTATGATACTGTGATAAGTGTTTTAACATTTAAAGTTCATATTACTGATCTGAACCAATGATAAAAAGCCTCTGTAATTTTCAATGGATGCAAGCATAGGATACAAGACAAACATTAAAAAGCACGTGTGAAACAATCAGAATTAAAGAAATAAAACTGAACAAATATAAAAATCTTGGAAAACAAAATGAAAAAAAAATCACATATAAAGATAGGGAGGGAAAACAATAAAGCTTATTTTTAGCTAAAACTTGGTGTTTTGGTTAACATCGAGGTAAAAGAGAAAATTATTTGGATGAACAGGGTATTCGAATTAGTTTCCCAAACGCTGGGTTACTGGAGCTAGCTTTTATGTGAAAGAATATAAGATAAGGCTGTATTAAAATATTTAAAGGAACCTTCCATGGATTGAAAAGTTTAATAGATAATGAAAATTAGGTATGATTAACGCTATGTTTATTTTAAATAGAGGAAGACTTGCATTAATAATATATATATATAATATATTTAAAATACAGGGTGTCCCAGAGCACCCGCACCAGGCCTTTATCTCGATTGATTTAGGTCGAACGAAGTCAGGGACCACAGGGTTGAATAGAGAACCGACCCCAAGGCATCCGAATTTCATGGTATCAAAACCCCTCCCAGCCCCCCTTGGAGGATAAAGGGGGGGGGGGGGTAACGATCCTAAAAGTCGGGGTTTTCGATCGAATTTCGATTTGATTACATTAGAGTTGAAAAGTACGAAAAATTTCATGTAAAATCGACCCTTAAAAATCCAAAGTCGGACCACTTCACGCTCAAGAATGATCCCTTACAGAGGGGGACAGCAGCCCCCTCCATAATTTCCCTTTGGTCAAAAATTGACGCAGCTTCTCCGGAAAAAGATGATATCCCAGGTAATCGACACCAAGGAACCCGATTTACATGATCCCGAGGCCCCCCTAGCCATTCTTGAGGGATAAATGGAGAAGGCAAAATTTCAGAGGTTGGAGGAAATTGAGCCTCTCCTCGCAGTGCCTGACTTCGTTCGACCTAAATCAACCGAGAAAAAGGCCTGGTACGGGTGCTCTGGGACACCCTGTATGTTCTGCATCATATACAGAAGATGGCAATGGTGAATAATATCATGGTAAAAATATCATTGTTCCAGGTTACATAGATTGAGATTTTGTCTAAAATGTATTCCGGATTTGAGAAACTAATCAGGAGCAGACAAAAGAACGTACTTATGACAATTTAATAAGTTAATTTATTTTGCTGTAATGCAGCAATTCTATTTGCTGTTTTATTGTAATGTTGCAATTACCTTTTTTTGGTGTAGTGGGGCTTGCCAACTGTAAAATAAAGAAATAAATAAAAAATAAATTCATATCAATAATGAATGAAAAAAGACAATACAAATTTCATAACTAATAAGGTTTTTTGAGGGGGAAAATGTGATAATGATACGGCTTCTGCAGCGGTAGAAATAAGACCTATTCTAACAGACCGTTAGAAAGGGATGTTCGGAGATGAATTCTTACTTAGTATGACCTACACATATGTTCGAGTTAAGGAAGTCATGATTGACGTATTTGACCAGCTTGGAAATTTTGAAACCATCTTGTGCGACAATAATAAGAGAGGAACAAAATGAAAAAAAATTCTTAAAACCGTGGGTTTAAGAATTTCAGCAGAGCGACAGCAGTAAACTTGACGAGGGTAAAAAGATCCCTTTCAGAACTTCTTTCTAGAAAATTGTACCCAGAGTGGCTAGTGATCTTAGAACTTCCTGTTTTATAAAGATATAAAGAACAAAAGCCACATCGAGCCATAATTTGAGGTCAGCATGCAGAGAAGGTCTATTTACCGTAAAAATAGTAAGCTTTTTAGGTCTTTCGTAGATAGATCCGTCCCGACCAGTGATGTTCAATATTAATTACACAGATGAGGAGAATACTGTATGGTGTTTACGAAAATGTAGGGTGACACATACAGATGGCTTCTTGAACTGTTGCTAGGATGAGAAGATGAATAATCATTTCTTTTCTACGAGTATCTGCAATCTGTCAGTTGATCGACTTAAAAGAGGTATGTTGTCCTGGCAAATTACCGTATGTTTAGTACTTGAATTACCATGTTTAGTACATGTATTAGGTGGAAGTTTATTGCTCACACGTAAAGTGCACTTAATGCTCCAAAAAAATGCTTTTCATTTAAAATGTCATACAAAAAATTGCAAAACGTTTGCGGAATATGGAATTCTGCTTTCAATGAAAATACCCTGATGATCATGACATGTAAATTCTATCAAAGAAATACATTAAAAAACTGAAATTTTCAGAGGAAATCGTGAGTCTATCCTAAAATCAACCATCAAATAACCCAAAACCTAAATCTATATCATCAAGTTCTTCTTGTGAATAAACAGGGGGTTGAGAATAATAACATGGGTTCGTCTGCAACAAAAGTTCTCTATCCTTGGACTTCTTAATTTCTGAAAATTCACTGCCTGCAAATGGGTGCCCATTATTACGAATATAATCCAGTAGGGTTTGTCCGTAATAATCCTGAGCATTTGTCACAGCGAAAAATTCATCAAGTTCCATTTCCCGTAATCTGCTCAACAGCTCCACGGTATTTTCTTCCCCAGCTTTGAATGATTCTTCTACCAAGTTTAGAATGCTGGTGACATCCTCCTTCCTTGAAAGAGCGGAGGGTTTTTTATTTTCTTTGTTTCTGGCGTTATACATGGCTCCATGTTTCAGTAGAGCTTTTGTCATCTCTACTGATCCATTCTGAGCAGCAATATGAAGAGCTGTGGTTCCATTTTCTCCCTTGGCATTAACAAAAACATTTGCTCTGCCATTCTTCTCAGCATGTTTGAAGATAGTATCTGTTAATTCCGCATCACCCTTCGCAGCAGCTATATGAAGTAGTGTGCTACCTGAATTGGTCACTTGAGCCACATTTGCACCATTTTCTAAAAGTAATGATGTTATGTCTTTGAGGGCATTACTTACTGCAAAGTATAAAGGACTGCAACCATTACTGTCGACAGCATTTACAATACCATTATTCTTTTTTACGAGTTCACTGACGAGATCTTGTTTCCCTTTTTTCACAGCTTCAAAAAGTTCATCTGCCATTGTCAAAATTTCTCTGATGGAGTTACACTCTGCTAGATCCAAGGGTGTCTTACCCTCTTTTGTCTTAGCTTCATATGCTGCCCCGCACTGAAGGAGTAGAGTTACGCTCTCTGGGTCATCTCCTTTAGCAGCATAATGCAAAGGAGTCCAGTTATTCTTGCAGGGAGGATTTACATTAATTTTTTCCAAAATACGAGAGATGTGAGGTTCACCACTCCTTGGAGCTCCTCTTTTGAACAGTCGAGGGAAAATTCGGTTAGTGCTTCTTGGGGTAATTTTTTCTTGTAAAAGAAATCGTAGAATTGTTTTATTATTTTGCTTCACAGCATGATGTAGAAGAGTAAGTTGACTATCTTCTTGTTTCAGGTTGACAGCTTCAACTGTTTGAAGTAAGCCTTTCACTTTTTCGATGCCCTCATTATCAATAACTGCGGTAAAAATTTGATCCACTGCACTCAGCTTCCTGCTAAGAAGATAATTTACTGAGTCAGGATATCGATCGATCTCTATGGGTCTCTTGTTTGATTTGTTACGTACATTGATTTTAGCTCCATTATTCAATAATACGGTTGCAGCTGGAATATTGGAGGATATTCCACAAAGGTGCAAAGGAGTATTGCCGTAGTTATCGACGGTATCAACATCAATACCGTTTTGCAAAAAAAACTCAACCACGCCTGGCACACCCTCAAATTCACCCTCAGCTGCAGTGTGCAGAACAGATTTTCCATCCTTCGAGACTGCCTTCAATTCTGCTCCCTTTTCTAGGAGCAGTTTTGCTATGGCTGCGTTTCGAGCAGTATGTAATGGTGTGCAACCCTCGTTATTAGATGCATTGACATTTGCACCTTCCTTGGTGAGAATTTTTGCTGTGTGGAAATTCTGTACAAAATGTAGGGGTGTATCCCCCGATTCGTTTGAGGCATTAACTTCTGCTCCATGTTGTATGAGGCATTTTGCAATGGATGGGGTCCAAGCTGAGTGCAAAGGTGTATTTCGTGACTTGTCCATTGCATTGACATTCGCACCTTTATCTATGAGGAGATTCACGGTAGATAAATGTCTGGCCAAGTGTAAAGCAGTTCTCATTTGATCGCACTCATATCCATGGTAGTCAATACAGCTGTTGACATCAGTTCCCATTTCTATGAGAAAATCGGCTGCCTTGGGATCGACTCCACCATAATCCTCGCGAATAGCCCAATAGAGCGGGGTGCCACCTCGGGCATTGTTAAGAGTAGCTCCCTTCTCTATAAGGTACCTCATTGTATCAAGAGAACGAGAAAGATTATGCTTCACCAGCAAACACAGGGGTGTTCTTCCATCCTTTTCGGTGGCATTTACATCCGCTCCATTCTCTACTAAAAATCTTATTAATTCTTCTTCGCCAATATTCCGTGATGCCCAATGTAATAGAGTTCCTCCTCTATCCATTGCATAATGAGCATGAGGGTAATAAGCATTTATGTCCGAGCCCACAGAAATTAGAAACTTTGCAACTTCCAGTTTTGAGCATACTACAGCGAATTGAAGTGGTGTGCAATTGTGATAATTTTCACTTCTTGCATGGATATCAGCACCATTTTCTACAAGAAGTTCAGCTACTTCTGTATGCCCATCCATTGCAGCAATGTGCAAAGGCGTGTTACCATTCTTAGTTTTACTTTGGATATTTGCTCCTTTCTTAATCAGGTAATCAACAACATCTAGCATTCCTTCATCTACAGCACGATGTAAAGGATTTAATCCACCTTCATCAGTAATATCAATATCACCAACTCTGTCAATGATTAACTTGGATATGTTTGTATTTTTCTCCTTCAGAGCACGCTCTAAAGGTGTTTGACTAAAATGGCGGGTTTTAACATCAACTCTCTCATCTTTGAGCAAGATTTGCGCACATTTCTCTTGATTCTTTTCTATTGCAATCCAGAGTGATGTGCAGCCATCGTCATCAACAGCATTGACATCAAGTTCCTTCTCCAGTAAATTGGATAGGATTTCCGTTTGACCATACTCAGAGGCAATGTGTATTGGGGCTTTCCCATTGAAATATGTGTTAATATAATGTGAGCAGCGATTATCCGCCAACAGAACTTTTACAATGTTGGTATGACCTTTTTCACAAGCTATGTGTAAAGGTGTTTTACCATGTTGAAGCCTACTTACATCTAAATTAGGTTGTTCCAATAGTAGTTTAACCAATGCAACATTACCACCCTCAGCTGCTATTACAAGAGGTGTTTTCTCATCAGGCGTCAGTGCATTAATATTAGAATTCACTTCTATGAGCTTTTTTGTTAATTCTACAAATCCTTTTTCAACTGCGATGTGTAGTGTTGTTTTGCCACATGAATTGAGCTCATTCATGTCAATGATTTTATTTTGCATAATGGTGCTCAGTAAAGATATGTTATTGCTCTCTACAGCAGCAAATAAGGGAGAGTCAAAATTAGACATTATGATAACTTGCGTTTACAAGTAATACGTTGAATGCAAATTTTAGATATTAAATGCGTATATTCTCACAAAAGGGCAGAGCCTAAGAGCGTAATTTAAATCTTGAAAAGAGCTCCGATTAGAAAATGATAATTTAATGGATACAGAGGACCAATTAACACAAAATTATGAACTCTTATATTACCTGGTTACACTAATAAAACCCTGAGCTATCAGAAGCTATAAAATAAAATTGATACAACTTAGTATATGATGTGAGTTTTGTTGTTCTTTTTTATAAATTTCAGAACAACTAACTCTCAAAGAGAAAAAAGAAAATGATCACATTTCAGATGTGCTGGTACCTCTACAAGTAATTCTGAAGCCTGATATATTAGAAATTATACCCCAGTGAGTGTTTTCTGTTGAACTGTGGCGGGCTCAGTTGTTCTTCTGGAACAAAATAAAATTGCATTTGATAATAGAATTGTGTCCTACTATTCTTGTATGAGCACTTGGCTAAAGATCGTTGTTCTCACATCCTAAATTATGAGGTCTAGAGGGACTCACAACCCTAGTAGCAGCGTTATATAAGAATTACATAAAGTTAATGTAAAGAATGTATAAAGTGGTTAATTATATAAAAAAAACATAATATTTATATAAGAATTTGTTGAAGAATTATTGACACTAAAAAAACCGTAAATGTTATTTAAAAAAAACATACAAAAAAGGAATAATTTATGTAAGCAAAAAGATATAAATTTTAAAGTTTTTTTATATAATATTCATAATATTTTTAAATCAATATTAATTAAAACATTAGCATAAGGATTACTTAATTTGCATATAATTTTTAGATAATGAAAATAGGAAAAAAAAGAAAATGTAAGGAATTACTTTTAAATTTTTAAAAAAATTTACGTAATATTCATACACATTTTAAATCAATATTAATTGAAATTTTAGCGTAAAAATTACGCAATTTCCAAATAAATTTCATGTAAATATGACCTGAAAAAATGAAAAAATTTATCCGGGTGAAAAGATATAAAGTTTAAGAATTTATTTATGTTCCAAACACACATGTATCTTCCACTAGGCATGTGTAAAGAGAATCTTTCAGCAAAATATGCATCATGCAAAGTAATAACGGATGACATCTGTCATGCAGACGTACTCAATAAAATAGAAAATGAACAAACAACACTCACCAACTTGCTCAAATCTGTAATCCACTGGGTCAGAAAAATCCACTTGAAGACTATAAATCCAAAATTCCGATTAGAACTGGTGCAGGTACGAAGGAACTTTTGAAAACACTATGAGTGCATTGTAAGAATATCTAAAGCACTCTTTAACGTAAGAGAAAAATTAGCACCATGATTTAATAGCTGATCAATACAGAACACCACTCTCAGAAAAGCACTGACACAACACGATTTTTCAGTTTAGTTTTAGAGGAGAAAGCATTTTTCAAAAGATGCGACATCATACATAGATCCACAGCTGAAATAATTTCATGATTTTCTCCGATCATTGATGATATTAAGGTAGCCATCGATTCTCTACCCGACGTTCCTTCCACACATGACAGGAAACATCTACAGGCATAGAGCAAATGGCACTAAGCAGCAATGTACATCTGATAAGGCAAGCTCCTGGAAGTGTCAATCTGCAAAAATACAAAGCGGGAGATAGATCATCAAATTGATCTACCTAAGGTTAATGGCCGTCCTTGGAGACAGACAATAAACTACGTAACAATATATCAACCACCATTTGATAACAGAACGAATTTAAAATGAGAGCAAAAGACCCTTCCTTTTGGAGGGAGGGCCAAGAAACATTTAAAAATGGAACATGTTACTACTTACAGGTCTGAGCCACCGAATAAAATACATTCCACCAGTCAATAAAATTTTAAATTTTGAATGTTGATGGATAACCTGATTGCCAGGATACATTGAGTTGAAACATTTGAAACGTAGAGCGGGTCATTTTTGTATAAGCTCTTGTGGTATCTTAAAATTATACGACTTTTAGGTACATGCACAAACTGATGATTTGACTTTAGGTACCTTAAAGGGATAAAATTAGGGCAACATCTGCAGCACTGCAGATGTGCGATTGGTAAAACTTCTAAGGATGAGGCGTTTTTAGTTCTCGCTAATGCATTAGCCACCCAATTCTAGAGTACCTGTATAGCGAGAGTATAGACAGATGTGAAACTCCGAAAATTCATCAGGCCTTCACCGATGCCTCCGCGAATAAAGTTAGGGCCCAGAAATGCAGCCAACCTATGAATTTCAAATGTCCAGAGCGATCTACAAATACAATTGTTACGAACCGTCGTTTATAAAGCATGTGATTGGCTTACTTTGTGCACAATTTTACTTATTTTTGCTAAAGAACGCTCATTTATGTACATTCTTGGCCATCTTGGTTAGAATTGAAAGCTGTAGGCTGGCAGTGAAATTTCGTGTGTTAGAAGTTGCTCAGAAGGGTGGCTGCACTTTTGGGCCCTAAGCTCTCCATCAAGCGATCTGTCCATACTCTCGCTATAAAGGTACTCTACCCAATTCATGAGTGAGGCAGAGGCAAAGACATAAAGACGGAGTGCTCGTATCTAAAAGCACGGGGAAAAAGTGAAGCCTGATTTGGCGCTGGGTGCTTGTGTGAGTGTGTAAATGAGCGCGGGAATCCATGGCGGCAAACGGAAATTTGATTTGAACTTGTCCTCTTAATTTTTCCATATTTCTTCTTCGAAACGTATTTTAAATGCCTAAAACGAATATATTAAGAAAGTTGGGACTGCGTCCTATGGTATTACACCTACTCTTGCTTGGTAATAGGCAGTAATCTCAGGTAAATTTAGTTTTTCTTCTGCTCATGGTCAGGGCCGGATTTACCTATAAGGCACTGGGGCACTTGCCCATAGCGGCAAATTTTGAGGGGCGGCAAATTTTGGCAGATTAATTGAAAGTTAAAGCGAGAAAAAAGGAAAAAATGGAGACAGAGACGGAGCGAAGTGAAAAGATGAGCGGCGAAATGTATGAAGGAAGGGAGTTGACGCTTGACGGGAGCGGCAAAGCTGCCGCCCCTTAGGTCCGGCCTTGAGCGCTACACGGAAAAAAAAGATTTCCTGAATTTAAGTAAACGCGTCTACTTGGATTTTTTACTTATTTCAAAACGGGTTTGACTTGGAAGAAACTAACGGTTTTCTTAAGTAAAATAAACGTTGTTTTAAAATAAGCCAACTTTTGCTTGAATGAAGAAACCAGTTTCTTTAAAATTAGTAAACGGGGTGAACGCCTTCTGAGTCCGGCCGTTGCCTCTTTTTAAGTCAACAGCATGCTTGGTAGAAGAAAATACGTTGTGTCGAAAGAAGAAACCGGTTTCCTCAAAATTAGTAAACGGGGCTAACTCCTTTCGAGGCGACCGGATGCAATTAGCAATACGCCCGTTGATTTTTTACAATTCAACAGTTTGCTTGGTACAAAGAAACACGTTGCGTTTAAAGAAGAAACCGGTTTCCTCAAAATTAGCAAACGGGGCGAACGCCCTCAGCGGGGGAGGATGCAATAAGCCAGACGCTGTTGCCTTCTTTTAACCCAACAGCTTGCTTGGTAGAAGAAAACACGTTGTGTCGAAAGAAGAAAACGGTTTCCTTAGAATTAGTAAACTGGGCGAACGCCCTCAGCGGGGGAAGATGCAATAAGCCGGACGCTGTTGCCTTTTAATAACCCAACAGCTTGTTTGATGAAAGAAAACACGGTACGTCAGAAGAAGAAACCAGTTACCTTAAAAGTAGTAAACGGAGTGAGTCCCTTCCGCGGGGAACGGATGCGGCATGGGACATGTGCGGTTGCCTACTTTCAATATAACATTTTGCTTCGAAGAAGAAACCAGTTTCCTTAAAATTAGTAAACCGGATGGTGACGCCTCCTATGAGAATGATACGTGCAATTGCTACCAGATGCCGTTAGCATCTGCTTAAACCAACACCATTTATGACGGAATAAAAGGAGACGGCAGTTAAAAAATCAAGATGCCCATTATATTTGTCTACAAAATAATTGTTCTTTAGGGAGAAATTCATTTAATGTGTCCTTTGAGAAATCACTCATATGCTCGGCGTCGACAAAAAATTAAATAAATAAAGAAGTAAAGAAGGAGAGGAAGAGGAAATATTTGCGTTGTTTTAAATAGATCGGCACTGTGCATTTGAAGTTTTAATTTTTATTTTTAAATGAAGGGGGCCTCATAAAGAGGACTTAAATACTTAAGTAGATTGAAACCGGGAGTTTTTTGCATTGCCTCAGTTCAGTTTCATCGGACAATGTATTTCCTCACACTAAAAAATCGCAATTTTTTTTACTTATTTTCTTCCTTACTTTTCCTGTCCTGATGAAT